CCCCCCCCCCCCACTAGAGTTTTCTGCATGGATTAAGAGAGACAGGAATGCCTGGGTGGCTCAGTCAGTTAAGCGTCTGACTCCAGCCCTGCTCAGGTCATGACCTTGTGGTTTGTGACTTCAATTCCGGCCTTGAGCTCTGTGCTGACAGCACAGAACCTGCTTAGGATTCTCTCTCTGCCCTCTGCCACTTGTGGTCTTTCTCTCAAAATAAATCAATAAACTTAAACTTTTTTTAATAGAGCCACCAATTCCAATCTATTTCTACCATCTTTAAGACTTGCGCTTAATGTAGCTTCCTTTTCTCGCTTCCTGCTCTTTAAATTCCCCCGAAGTGTCTTAAAGGGTGTGACCTGGAGAAAGAGGAGTAGCATGAAATAATGGGGACATTCTAGGGTGGGTATTATTGCCCCTCTAACATAGACCTGGAAACTGAGACCCAGGGAAGTGATGTATTTTGCTAACGTCCTAAGTTGGAACCACAATCACGCCTCGGGACTGACTCCTAAGCAGGTTCTCGGTTCACGCTGGAGGAAATATAAACAGGTAAACTGGAGGAGTGTTTAGGAATAGAACGAATCCCTAGGACCCCGCCACCGGAAAGGTTTCAGAATCCTAATAGTAAATAAAGCGTTCAAGCAAACAACTTCAAGAGGAAACCAAAAGTTTGACTGGGGTGGGGTGAGCTGGCGGGGGTGGAATGGAGGTCAGGGACAACTGGTTCCAAGGTCAGAAGCTTTGAGGGAAAAGCTAAGCATGGACTGGCTGGGTTTTCTCTCTTATTGATCGTAATCTGCCAGCAAGAAGGCGGATTTATCTCAGCGTCAGGCTCACGCAAGCTTTTAGGGCCGGCACGACGCTGGGAGGTGGCGGCGGCTGGGCACCCACCAGGAGGAGGCAGGGTTTGCAGGCTCATCCCAGGGGCTGCAGTCTCCGCGTGGAGGCAAGGGGCTGGCCGCGGTGTGGACCCGCGGGGTCAAAGAACCTGATGCCATCTGACCAAGGGCAGCCCAAGCAGTCAGGCCGGGACGCTCGAGACACCTGACGCACCAAACCGCAGTCCTTCCGCTGCTCCGCGCACGTGTCCTGCTCCGGCTCTCTCATTGGCTCTTCAGCCCCCTGGCCCAAGACGGCTGCAACAAGACCGTCCATCGGATTGGCCCATAAGCTTCGATGTGTTATTCTGATTGGCCAATGAGGCTCACGCCCCTTCTCCCTCGGCCCCCTGGAGGGCTGTTGAGTCATACCATAAAAAGGAGGGGAAAACGTGTATATGTCAAGACTTCTTTTTTGGGCTGCCTTGTCCTGTGTCGCATACTGGTCTCTACAGTGCCCTCAAAACAAGAGTTATTGTGTTGGCAGAAGTCACATACGGAAACATTTCTGATGACCTTGACTTCGGAGGACGGTAGCGTGATCAGATCCCCCCGCCTGTCGAGGTGGTGCGCTCCGGGCGGGGCTCCACCTTCTGGCCGCGCCCGGGGCGCGCCGTGAGCGGACAGCCGCGCCGCGCGCTCGAGATGCTGCCGCTGTGCCCCGCGCTCCGCCGCGCCCTGCAGGCCCGCCCCTGGAGGGGGCCCGGGTGAGTGCGCACCTCCCTGCCGGACCCCCGCCACGGTCCCGCGGGTCCCCCGGCTGGGGGTCGCTTCGTCGGGCGCCCCGCCCCGCACCCAGGCCTTCCTCCCGCTGCGACCCCCACCGTCTCTTGCCTTCCGCGAGGGGGGACCCCCTCCTGGCTCCCACGCTCTGCTCGGAAAGTCGCCTCCTTCGCGCTCGCCTTTCTGAATCTAATGCTGGACCCACCGCCGAAGTGCGCCTCGATTTTTCGCACAGCGCTTCTCAGCTCCCCACCCTTGGTCTCACATTCAGGATCCATCCACCTCTGGGATTCCCTGAGTCTCCTCTGTCCTTTCCACTGGGACTTCTTACTCTCTTTCCCGCCCCTCCCCCTTTTCAAGTTAATTACCGGGAGTGAAAGGGACTCTTCCTTCTGATAGGTGGAATAGTAATACTTACGGAGTTCGTATAATGTATCAGACGCTGACTAAGGAAGACCATACATGCAAAGTGCCCGAACGGTGCCTGGCACTTAGTGCCCAGTTCTTATTAGTCATGATCGTCGTTTATTACTCTCTTTTAAAACTGTGCGGTAGATATTCCAGATTACAGGTGAAGAAGCCCACGTGTAGTTTCAAGGTGGATCAGCCCTGGAAACTTCCAGGCTGTGGAGTTGGATTCTTGGACCCGTGCCCACTCAACGAATGACAGATGTTCTTAGAGCCCCTTCCTCTTCTGGGCTAGACAGGGTGTGTGTGTATGGGGGGGGTGGGGGTGGGGAGGGATAGGTAGGACACAGACCCTGTCCCAGAGGGGCCCAGTCTGATGGACGGGTGTTTCTCTGGGCCTCCCTTTCAGAGCTGGGTAGCCCCCACCCCCAATTTGAGTTTTGTTTGCCTGACCCCTAGGATTGTGACCAGCCATGTCTCCTCTGCTGAGCTATGCCCTTTCTGAGTTAATCAGTGTCCCAAGGGATGGCACGGGGGTGCCCTGGACATGGGTCAGTTTCAACACAGCTGTGTGTCCTTTGTGGGTGGGGGCTCGATAGGTAAGGGCACAGGAAAGGCACATGGGGGAGGATTCCTCTCCCAAGCCAAGATTGGGGGCCACATTTGTCACACTTGCCCTTTTGTGGGCTTCTCCCTGCGCTCTGACACCCACTCCCCTCCCCGCAGACCTTACACAGAAGCTCCGTACGTTCCTGTATTTACGAGTACCCACAATGTGCGGATGTTGTGCTAAACATGGAAGAGAAGGGTACCCCTGAGATTTGCATGTGGACTTTTCAGTTTAACGGCAGGGTTGGGGGCTGGCGGGAGGAGGGCTTAGCCATAAAAAGCTCTAATATCTGGTAGAAAGCAATCTATATTCTTTTAAAAAAGCTTGTAATAGCAGTAATATTTCTCAAGCGATTGAGTATGGTACTGTCGCTAATAAGCACTGTATTATCCCCGTTTTTACAGAAGGGAAACTTACTTTCCAGTTGAGGCAAATGGAAGACCAAATTTGCAGTCAGACTCCAGATTCATGCTCTTAATTACAGAGCTTCCAGAATGGAGGAAAAGCATTTTGCAATCAGATCTGAAGAGTTAGGTTAACCTCTCTCGGTAGAGCAGCTGGCCCGATGCCCTAGACCCTAGGGTTTCTCAACCTTGGCACCATTCACATTTCGAGCTGGGTAATCCTGGGTTGCGGGGGCTGTGCAGCGTTCCTGGCTTCTACTCACTGGACACCATTAGCACCCCGCGGCTGTGACAGTAGAAACATGTCAGACATTGGGGCGCCTGGGTGGCGCAGTCGGTTAAGTGTCCGACTTCAGCCAGGTCACGATCTCACGTTCCGTGAGTTCGAGCCCCGCGTCGGGCTCTGGGCTGATGGCTCAGAGCCTGGAGCCTGTTTCCGATTCTGTGTCTCCCTCTCTCTCTGCCCCTCCCCCGTTCATGCTCTGTCTCTCTCTGTCCCAAAAATAAATAAACGTTGAAAAAAAAATTTTTTTTAAATAAAGAAACATGTCAGACATCGCTGATTGTCACCTAGGGCAGAAGTGCACCCAGCAGAGAGCCATTACTTTGGAAAAACAGGTTTGATGTTTGGCCACTTTGTCATTTATTCAGTGACTATTTAGGTAACACGTGTCCGTTGTAAAAAGTGCAGATAAAGCAGAAAAGGTACACACGTCACTTGGAATGTCACCACACAGAGGTAACCACTGTCATCATTTTAATACCCTTTAAAAAAATTTTATTTATTTATTTTGAGAGAGAGAGAGCACCCCAAGCAGGCCCTGCCCTGTCTGCACAGAGCCCGATGGCGGGGCTCGAACTCACGAACTGTGAGATCATGACCTGAGCTGAAAGCCAAGAGTCGGACCTCAATGTACTGAGCCACCCAGGCGCCCCTAATAGTCTTTGAAGTTTCCGTGAATATGTATTTTTAAAAAAAGAGAAAACCCACAGTATACACGTGGGCTCACCTGCAAATCCATTTTTGTAGTTGACTTTTTTATTTCATGGACTTGTCTACCTTGCCGTCCCCGGGGCCTCATAGTGTGTCTGGCACCTGGGAAGCCCCGAGCAAACATTTGGTGAAGAAATGATGTTCACAGCCCTTCTTTGCCAGTAGGTACTTATTACAACTGGTCTTGAGCCAGGGCTGACCCAAACAGCTGCCGTTGGCCTTCTGTGTGGATTATTTTACTGAGCTCATCGGGAGCCTGTGATGTAGGCGTCACTATTCCCATTTCACGGATTAAACAACTGAGGCCCTTGGAAATTAAGGAAAATTTGTCTACACCAGACCCCCCCGGCTGACTGCCTCCTGTCTCCTTTGGCCCTGACCTCCTGCTTTTTTTTCTCTACTTCATTGACTCTATGGGGGATGTCCTCGGTGATGTCTTTGCAAATTCTTGTTGGAAAGGGTCAAGATACATATTTATGTTTATATGCAAATTTAATAAACAAAAGAACTATCTTGGGCGCATAGCAGGCTTACAACGAATGTTATTTTTGTCCATTACTCTTGTAGCAGACCTTGCTGGGTGCGAAGGGTGCAGAGATGACCCCCCTGCTCCCCAGCAGGGATGGGTGGGCTGGAATTGGCCACAGTCCTGTTCCCTGCCGGAGTCCTGGGTCACTTTGGACTCCTCTCAGCCCACCTGCCTGTTTAATTTTCAGAATTTCAAGCCTCCCCAATGTTTGTCCCGCCTGCCTGCCCCCCGGGATGGGCACAGGCCGGCACATCCCACCGTCCCCTGGACGTACTCTGCTCTCTCAGTCCCCTAAGCAGAGGCCAGGCAGCACCTCTTGCCTGGAATGTCCTCCCCCAGCCCCCATGGTGAACCCACACTCACCCAGCACTTTGCGCCCTTGGCAAGGCAGCTCTCCTTTGGCCCCTCAGTGCCCTGTCTGTAAAATGGGGATAATCCTATCAGCCGTGTAGCAGAAGGATTAGACGTGATGTGACAGGTAGATTGCTGGGGTCTGGTACCCCTTATGTAAGTGACTTAGTGAAGGAATAAATAGAACCTGCAGTGATCCTAATAGTTGCTTCAGAGGTTGTTAGAAGTCCCCACCCGGGCTGTCATCACAGGCATACCTTGAGCACTTGCTTCTGGTACCCAGCACCTGGCCTGGCATACAGTCGGTGCAGAACACTTGCTCTTGGGATGGACCAGGGGACGGCATGGGGCAGATTCCGACTTCACCTCTCAGTAGCTCTGTGGTCCTGGGCGGGTTGTGCAGCCTCTCTGTGCTGCCTCGTGTCCCCAAGTGGTAAATAAAGGTAGTGATAGGAGCCACCTCATAGGATTGCCTTGGAGATGAAATGAACTCATACACGAAAACCACTCCAAAGAGTTTCTGCTCCTAGAAAACATTGCTTTAAGTATTATTTTTGATCGCCTGCCCCACCAGTGGGGTCGTCTGAGTGGTCGTCTTTGATCAGGGACATTCAGACAGGGGGGTCCCAGCACCACAAGGATGGAAGGGGGCGGAGTGAGCCTTCCCTTTATGCTCATTCATTATCCTGAGGCAAAACCCTTTCTGTTGGGACTGACCCTGCTCACCCCAGGGGAAGGGGCAGACACCTGCCCATCTTGGGGGGGGGTGTCTTACCCCCCCCCCCAGATGCTTCCTTTCCTGGTGGAGATGTCATGGAGCGGACGGCCCTGGGCTGAGCTGTCCGCGTCCATGGACAGCAAGCCACTGCCTGCCTCTCTCCTCAGGTGGGAAGTGCTGGGCGGGAGGAGGACGCACCTGTCCCCTCGGCCCCACTGCTCAGGGGTCTCTGACAGGCTCAGGGTCAGGGAGTTGTGACCAGAGCCATGCACCGCACAGTAATCTCAGAAGGTCAGTCTGCTCCTCTGTGATGATAATGATGGTGATAATCATGGTGCCTTCTTCATGCACTCGCAGCTTGGACTCGGGACATCATCACTTAGCATAGTGCCAGGCAAGCTGTAAGTGCTTAATGAATCTTCCTTGATGTTCCCGGGCAATAAAGTGGAAACAGCTCAGCCTGGGCCTGATGCCCCTCCCTTCTGGACCTGCCCTGGGGCCCCCGCACTTTCTCTCTGCTTACCTCTCTGCTCCAGGCGCCTCCTCTTGGCGATAAGGAGGATTGGCCTTATCAGGTCCCAGATACCAGCTGGGAAAGTCTGGAAGCTGAATGAAGCAAAGCTAGTTTCCTTTCTGCTCCTCTCCTGGGCCTTGGTCACCCCTGGCCCTAGTCCCTGGGGACCTGCATCCAGCCCCCGGGCGTTAGCAGAAGAGCTAACTGGGATGGGAGTCCCGTCCTGGGGGTCTGGTGTTGTCCCGGGGGCCTGGTGTCCTTCTGACAACACCTGGGTGTTCATTGTTGTTGTTGGTGTTGTTCTCCCCCCTCTTTTTGGCTTGATGAGTCTGACAAAAGGTTTACCAGTGTGTCCTTTGCGTCCCAGGCAGTGTGGCCGCTGGTGAATGGAGTGGGCGCAGGCCGGCCCGGGGGAGCCGACACCGTCAGTGGTGCCCTGGGAAGAGCGTGGGGGCTTTGAGATGGCCCGACAGGGCCCCATCTAGGCGCTGTGAGGGTAGCCTCCCAAGCAGAGGGGACTCCAGAGAAGACCTGGGTGGCCTGCGAAGTGGGCGCGGGGGGTGGGGGGCGGGTGGTGGTGATGGGAAGTGAGTCTGGAGGCCTCAGTAAGGATTCTG